TAGGTGATCCAGAAGCAGGTTATATGTTTCTGGTGATCGAATGATAAAACAATTTTTGAACTCGGCCATCCCAAACTGAGATCATGATTTGCTCACTGAACAAACGATATTTTGCTCAACCTCGTCCAATAATTGTCAATTACTGTAACGTAATATTTTGGAGTCCCTCTCGAGTAGCAGGTCTTGTAACAAGTTTCACGACATATTTGTCAGATATTAAGCTGGAACAATAATCGTTAATTGTAACAGACAATTAAAACCACCACTTTTTTGCACCAACAAAACTTTACCTTTCTCAAGGAGTAGTTACCCAGTTCAAGACAAGATTTTGCACAGAAAAGAACAGACGTCCAGCTTTCGAATTTCTTTGAGTTCCACTAATATTTCAGATATGTTTGCAACTAATGTGTCGCTAGTCAGGTCATTACGTTGTTGTTGTTGTTGACCACAATCACAACTGGCTGCAGTTTGTTAAATATTCCATTATTTCTTGTTCAATATGGAATCCTGGTATTTGCCAATTAATTTACGCGCCCAGATTACATCTTGTACTTGAATTTTCAGGATTTTCCGGGAGGGCATGCCCCCGGACCCCCCTAGCATTACGCACCTTGGGCTCTCCTTATGGGCGCTAACGCGCCCATATTGTATCTCCCCTCGATATCCTCCACTAAGGCTTACAAACAAAAAATGTGTAGGAACGCCCCTGACGAAGGTTTGCCTACTTTTCACACTATGAACGGGTGGTTTTCCTCGTGCCGGATACTCCTCAAAAAGCAGGCGACAAAGAGTAATATTTTTACGTATTTTGCATTCGTTCCGCTCATTTTAAATCAGTAATGCGGCTACTTCTTTTTCGCATAATCGTGCTTTTTCGCTAGTCTTGAGTACTGCACTGTTGCCAAACCAGTTAATTTACCGCGCCGTTGTCTTACTTGACTGTATACTGCTCTGCTCGCATCTTCCAAACTTGGTCAGAGCCAGTTAGTAATGGAGAATTAGCCGGGAGGTTAAAGTCAATAGAAACGCCGCAGCGTATTTTTAATGAATAATCATTATCTCTTATTACAACTGTATCTAGTCTATACATAACATTTACTTAAAGGAGCTGTGTAACGACTAGCCTCTTCACAGACCCTCTATTTTCTCCTCAAAGTCCGTCGAACGAGCGTGATAAAAAATAAAAACCGCGGGCGATTTATCGACCGCCAGCCAAGCGGGGTAGGAGTGGGAGAAGAAGAATATTTTTCTTTCTCGCTCACTCGCACACTCGCCGTTGATTCGAAAAGAACGAAAAGAAAAGAAAACAACGTCTGCGTACAGGCTATGTAATGACACTATAGGGAGGTTAAGCAACGACGACGGAGACGGCAACGAGAACGGCGAAAAAAGCTATTGGTTTAGATTGGCAAAACAACAACTTTGCACGTGCATCACGCTTTTTTGTACATTTCTTTGCCGTCGTCGCACGAACACAACGTGGAAGTGCCTAATTTCAAGTTTTGTCGAGGACGTGAAAATGACCTCGTTAACCCTTCTAGCCAAAACTGAAGAGGAAAATGCAGCTTTCCAGGCTGTCGATTTTTTGAGAATAGGCCAAAAACTTAATGGTAAATATCGTCTTCGTAGTCGTCCTCGAATCTAAAGGTCTATAACAGAAGAAGAAAAGAAACGAGTACCTTTTACTTCAAAGGATACCTGTTTTTCTTAAATTCTGAACCTCGGATAATGCATTTCTGTTTTTCTCTTAAATGGCAAACGATCGCTGAAATCGACCATGACACCTAAAATCACAGCCGCAAAAATCACACTAATGACATCAAGACTGACAGAGAGCTGTCGGGCACTATCACCAATGAAATCAATGAACTTTTGACGTCATTACAACTGACCAAACCTTATCACTTTGGGATCAGTTATTACACTAAAACCTTCACAAACCTTCACGAATGGAAGTGTTTTGAATTTTACGAGCCATCGCCCACACGTCGCATATGATCTTTGTAGTGTTGAACAAGAGCCTCACTACTCATCTCCTCTTGACAAATCCAACAGCTTTGTTCCTCAACGATGGCTGATGGCACGCCTTCCATTCTATTGATTTCAATCTCTCTGTGTGTCAGGGACCTGTCTTTCAATCCTGACCTTCTATTACTTCCTGTGTTTTTGTACGACCTTTTTCTGCTGTGGTGGACTCTTTCATGTTTTCTTAGGCTGCCTACTTGGCTAAAACACTTCCCACACTGTTGACATTCGTAAGGCTTTT